CTCATCCAGGTTTTCTTCCCCGGCGCTATTAGTGCTCAGATGGGCAGAATGAAGGGCAACTACGTGCAAATCATGTGCAAATCGTTTCCCTCCGGAGTCCTTTCATCCCCACTTGGCCCCGATCGTCTCCTTCTACTTTCCCCTCACCCCTCTCCTCCCTTTCCCCTCTCTTCCAAAAGAGGGGAAGGGGCTCCCCTTAAAGCGACGGCCAGTTTCGGAGTCTAATCCTGGGTCCCCTGTCGGAGGAGCAGCAGCGCCTGCCCGCGTACATTTGATTGTCTTATTTACTTAGGGAAGTGGGGGAGACGAGAGGGGGGAAGTGCCGGCGGAAAGGGGGAGACGCGTCGAGAGAAGTGGAAGTGCTCAGATTAGGACTTGCCAAGATTAACACACCAGTGCACCCAAGCTTTCCTCCCTTCGCCTTCCTCCTCCTCTTCTTCCTCCTCCTCCTCCGTCCCTCCCTCTGCTTTCCGACTCCCCTCCTCCTCGCCTTTGGGCGCAGCGGTAAGAGCCCTTTTTCTTACGTAGTCCCCGATGATTGGCAAGGCTGACAGTGATTGGCAGGGCGCTGCCATGGCGACGCCACAACGACACCCGCCAGGCCAATAGAAAAGCGAAACAAAATGCTTCGGCGCTACACTCACGGTGGATTTAGGAGAGATATTATGAGGCTGTTGTCATTAGGACGATCGCGGCCGAATCACTGAATCTGTTTTCGCCGCGGCTGCGGCGGCAGCCGCTCTGGGTCTGGAGGTGTGTGCGTGCGCGTGTGTAGTGCGTGTGTCTGTGCGTGTCTAGGCGAGCAAGCCGGCGCGCAGATGCCCGCCTGTACGTGGTTGAGGGTATGCGAATGCGAGTGTCCTGCGTGCGTGTGAAAGGTGGTGGGTGGGAGTGAGTGTGTGCGCGCGGGGGGAGTGTGTGTGTGTGTACGTGTGTGTGCATGTGTGGATTCGGATGAGGGTCTCTATGCGGGTGTGGATGCGCGTGGGGTGCGTGAGCCCCCTTTCCCTCCCCTCTTTCTCCTCTTTTTCATCTCCTTCGTCTGCCTCCTGCCTTCCTTTCTTTTCGCCTTGATCCCGATTCCTTCCTTCCGTCCTTCTCTTCTCCCTTCCTTCCTTCCCCCTCCGTCTCGCTCGGTCTCTGTCTTTCGAGCCCCTCCCCCGTCCGCCAGGCTGGGTCCCATGGTGTTCCGATCCCCTTTAGAGCTTTATCCCACCCATTTCTTTCTGCCAAACTTCCCCAGCGACCCGCACCACCACCACCGCTCGCTTCTTCTAGCCACTGGTGGCAGCAGCAGCTCCGGAGCTGG